AGTAGTCTATATAAGTATAAACTGCCTTAGTTATTTATCTTAACTATTATATAGTAATAGCTAATCTTTTTAAAAACTAATTCTTAGCCTATTCTAATATATTTCTTAAAAAATAATAAGACTTTTTAATAAAAGAAGATAGCTATACTAACTAGGCCTATAATATTAAGAGCAATTCTATTATATCTTCTTTAGAGATTAGCTAGTAATTTCTTTACTATATTATACTTATAAAGTCTATAAATAAAGAGCCTTATCTTAACTAGGTTATTTATATTATTAAAGTTAATAATAATTTAAATAGCTAGTATACTAGTCTAAATATTAACTACTTATATCTTTCTCTATATTAAGAGTTAAGTTTTATTAAAGAGTAGCTATATATAGCTAAAGATAGATAATTTATAAAGTAAGTATAATATATCTAGATTTATTGTAGTTCTTATCTCTTATATCTCTTCCTGAATTACTTTTAGGCAGTCTGTAATTAGGCTTTTATATACCCGTTTCAATCTATTAAACAAGCCCCTTATTATACAGACCATGCTGATATAGTAGTTTACAGATTGGAGGAGAATGTTGAAAACTAAGAAATAAAATACTGGATGGGTGGCAAATCGGCTCCTATGTTGCTGCAATATATATTTAGCCCAGTAATTAAGCGAGTGATTGGCACTGCGCCGTGCAGGCTCCGAAGCATCTTATAAGTTGCCGACCGGCTCGCTTAGAGCCTTAGGGCTGCTGCTCCCCCATAGGAAAAGTTTCGGAAAGGTCCGCGGAAAGAAGTCCTCCTTAATACCCTCGGGATCTGGTATTTTCAAGTCCGCAGCGGACCAGAGCTTCGAGTCGCCGGCCTGATCGAGACACGTCACGTTGCCCCCAGTCTTCAATTTATAGAGCTGCTGTCTGCCGCTGGCAGAATCCAGGATGGCGGCATAATGGCGAACTGCATCGTTTGTCGGATGCAGAGGCACGGCAGAGCCAATCGGCACGAGGTCGTCAATCTCTTCGTCAAACTTCCTCGGCCGCAGCTCGGCAGTCTGCTCGACGATATTTCCGCTTCCATTGATGGCCCAAATAGCCGCAGACCGACCATTTTGAGCGACGCGAATCTCATGCGCTCCTGCAAAGGCTGGGTCCGTTATCGTAGGGGCCTTCTTGGTGCCTATAGGAACTGACTCCACCCAGTCCTGAGCAGCAACGTGCAAGACGCCACCGTCATGCGGGGTCCCCAGGTTTTCTCTCTCCACCAATCGTTAAGGCTGTGAACTTTGCCTAATTCGACATGCTCGGTTCATGTATACATTGACAGGGCGGGATCGCTGGCGTTTGCACCGAAGGGAATTATTGCAGAGTGCAAGGTGTAAGATGGTTTCCTTCATCCGAATTCCGAGGGTAATTCAAACAGCCTCTATTTTTTAAAAATTAAAAATACCTTAATGTGGTTTACAAGCGAGTGAGCTACCTTCAAATCCCATATAAAATACCATTTTCAACCCCCTTGTAAAAACTATCAGGATTTAATTAAACTTAACTAAAAGTAACTTGTAGGTTTGCTGTGGTATAGTAATAGAGTATTATTTTTCTAAGATTTTATAAAATTATCTTTAAGAAGTTATTTTAAAACTTTAATATAAGATATTCTTATAAATGAAAATTTAAAATATCTCTATAAATAAAGTTATATAAAATCTTAGAAAAATATTAAGCTGTTATTATATTAAATTAAAATATATAAGTAATATTTTATTAAGTTTTATTAGAAACTTATAGTTTTTATAAGGGGGTTAAAAATGGTATTTTATATAAAATTTAGAAGTAGCTTACTTAATTAAGTAGCTTACTTACTTATAAACTATATTATTTAAAAAGTAATATTATTAAAAATAGCTTTAAATATATTAGTTAAATCTTTTTAATTTTTAATTAAAAAAGTTATTAGTAAGGTTAATATTACCTGTTAGTATTATAGAGTAAGCTGCCTACTAACCTCGTTCTAAAGTTAGTTTTAAAAACTCTTATTATCCCTTTTAATTATTATTATCTACTTTTTGCCTTATTATTACTAAAATATCCTAAAAAATACACTCAAATTTATAATTTTTAAGTAATTATTGCATAATATCAAAATGCCCCCTTAACACCCTTATTCTAGGTATAAACAGCTTCTAGAGAATATACTAAATAAATTACATGATAAGTTAAGAAGAACTATACTTATAGCAGTTAATATAAATATACCCTATAATATATAAAGAGCTATAAAAGCTGCTTAATTAACACCCTTAGTATATACTCTTATAGCTTAATTACCTGCTTTAAAAGAGACTATTTAAAAGATTATTAATTCAGCTTTAACATCTTACAATTCCCCCCTCTGCTGCAGCCAGCCTGCAACTCTTATAGCTACTAAAGATACAGCTCTAGTTACCTTTATCTTATAGCTAGAAAAGTCCGGCTTTCCAGCTAAAAAGTTATAAGTTAAAAATACTACTCTAGGTTTTCTATATTCTAGAGGCATTAAAAAGAGTTATTTATTAAAGAATTAGTATCCTCAGTTTTATACCTGTTACCTAGAGCTTTAAAAGATATTTCTTAAGGCTATAAATAAGGCGTATAAAGTATTTAAAGTATTTGATATTAAAGATATTAAGAAATTCTTTTCTAACTTTAAGAATATTATTTATAGTTATAATATTAGCTCTTTAAAAATCTAGAATAAAAATAAGTATAGTATTTAAATTAGATACCTTTAAGAATATATTTAGGTTTTTATATATTATATTATCTACTTTTAATATCTTAAAGTTATTAATTTATTAAATTATAAGTTGTATATATAAATTAAAGCTATAAATACTCTTAAAATTAGTATTTTTTTTAGCTTATTTTTAAGATATTACTAATTAAGTTTTAAGCTTTAATTAATATTATTTTAAGTATATAATTTTCCTAGTTAAATACTAACTTTAATAATTAATAAATTATATTAAAATAACTTTATTTTTTTAATATATTTTTCTAGCTTATTTTTTTAAAGATAAAAATAAAAGAGATTTTTTTTAGTAATTAATTTAACTATAATAAATAACTTTATAATATTATTTACTTATATATTTAATTAACTATATTTCTAGCTATTTATAAAAAAAAATTATATATATTATTTTTTTATTATTAATAGCTTCTCTAGCTATTTAAAGTTTAAGTTTATTAAATACTATATTTATTTTAATATTATAATTTATATTTTATTTTTATATTTAATATATCTTATATAGCTACTTAATGTTAGTATTTTTTAACTTTTAAAGAATATATATTAATAAAAACTTTAAAAATCTATTTAAAAAGATAACTTAAAATTTAACTACTTTTAATTTATAGCTACCTTTAAATTAATCTATATAGCTAGCTTTATAAGATATAATATTATATTAAGATTTAAAAAAGCTAATATTTAGCTAATATTATTAGTATCTATAATTACCTATATCCTTACCAAGTAGCAATAATAGCAAAAAGCAATCCATCCCTCTATTATAAAGCTACTGCTATAGAAGACTTACTTTTAAGATATACAGGATCAGATAGAATATATCTTTAAGCATTACCAGCAGATTATAAGCTCGCCGACCCTAGAAGCTATTACCAACATCACTAATATCCTCGCCGAGGCAGGCCTTATGAATCGAGAATGTGAAGTTATTAAGACAGACCGGCTTAGCTGCATCGAGAAATACAGTAAGAGAAAGAGACCTAGCGCCCGGATCAGGCCACGCGGTAATTTCGTTACAAATATTGGATTTCCTGATATTCAGGCTCAACACAAGGCATCTTTAGCGGCCGCAGAGGTCAAAGAATAGCGTTTACAACTACAATCAACCCGAATAATTATTCTTCAAGAGATAAAGGCGCTGAAGGTTTAATGGAGAGAAGAAAACGAGTTATGTATATACCTAGGGCAGCTAAGGCTAACGTGGAATTAGTGGCTCGATGAGACTGAAAACCGGCCCCGATTTCTAGACCTCGAGACTCAAAGAAAGGAATATAACGATGTTCTTAGTTAACTACCAAAGAGGGCGTTTCTCGAAGCCCAAGAAGAGGCCCGACGGGCTCTAAGACCGATTATCGCGATAGATCAAAGTGCCTGGCCTAACAGCGACGATAAGGTCGAATTTCGAGGCATCGGGCCGTTCCAAGATGATGACGATGATATTGACCTCATCGGGCTTAATGAGGGTGGCGGCGATGATCTTGTGGGCTTAGGAACGCCGTTGGGAATAACTTCATCGCCGCCCTTGGATCCCTTGGATCCAGCCGATGACTCGTATGACGATAGCCTCATATTACCACAACTTCCCGTTACAACACCAAGGATATCGGGTTATTAGCGTGTAAAGAACGCCCTGAGAGGTCTCCGTGAGTAACAGGCCGCTGGGGCAGCGAGGGCAACATCGTCATAATAGGGTCATGACGGGCAGCTCAATCAGGCCCCTAGGAACAGGCGGCTCAATTGAAGCTGAAAATGCGATTTCTACTATTTCCTTCGAATATCATCATTTTCTGCTATTTCGGGGCTTTCTAGCAAGCTACATTACAGTCGCATTCCTTCAAAAATGACCGTGTCGCAAAGTCTGAAAGATCATAATCCTGAAATGGTCTATTTCACCGTATTAAGGGACGAAAAGTGGGTGACAACGATTAAAGGGGATGACAAGGGTTTTTGGGACCAACCTCGGGACGAGGTTGGTAGGCGGCTTGCCCCACAATGCCAACGGGTAGATAAATAAATAGAGTATAAATTATACTATATACTATTCCCCTCTAACTAAATATTAATAGCTAGGCTCGTTATAACGATAGTCCAGTGGTGAATAAACTGGATATTTAATCCCAGACGGGATAAGAAAGTCTGCAAGGTTACCATCTGGTCCGTGGACGGGGAAGAAGCTAGTTTGCGAGTTAGTAGGTAATATCCAAAGAATACATGCAACTTACTACGTATCAAGAGTCACCCGATCGCGGACTAAAACATCTATAAGTTCCTGTAACATTCCATGGTCCGCACTATCTATAGTAGCCAGGTTCGCATGATCTGCTTCAAAAAGGGCCGTTGAGCTGTTGGTCGTCGGACGAGCAGAAGAAATAAAAGCATAGCCATGATCTTCGGCGTGGATAGTCCCTTGCATATCCACGAGGGCTAGCTGGGTCTTGCTATCCTTTAGCACCATCGCATCGCCACGCCTGCCAAAATTGTCAGATATATATTGAGATATGTCTCTTCTATAGACTTATCAGATCTTACCTATAGGTCAAGATCTGGCCTTCAGTGAGATTCAGTCTGGCGTAGTAGTGAGCCCCGTTTTCTGGCACAATGATTTTGGTCCCAACGGCCGCATAGTCGGCAACTCCGAACGAGTGATCGTGATGGTGGTGCGTTGGCTGTGTATACCAGGTCAGCTTTAGTTTGACGATACCAGTGGCGGCGTCAGGACAAACCCAAACATGTGTGACATTCTTTCCAAGTCTTTGCTGGACCCAATCGATGACAAGCTTACTTTGATGCGGCGGCGCGTCCAAGACAATAACTGAGCCATCTTCAAGCTCAACGACTGCCTGTCTCATTACCATGTTCAAGATCCATAACCCGGGCACATCTTGGAATGGTTGTTCTGCGGATGCGTCAAGGGCTTCGAAGGTTCCAGTGTAGGGACCACTCCAAACAAAGCTGCTTGAGGTTTCTCCAATTTCTGCAAAGCCGTACTCGGGGTCCCTAGTAGGGATACTGTCTTCGGGAACAGTGCCATTGCCGGGTCTGCTAAAGAAGCCCTCCTCCAGTTCCAGGTTGGTCAACACT